TATATATATATATATATATATATATATATATGCGGTATATTCCGATGTATACATGAGGTCATATACACAAATAAACATGCCAATATGCACCTAGCTTGTGCTGCTGCTAGTGCAGCGCATTGGGAGCCTACTCCAGGTTTAGGGTTTACCTCTTCTGGTGTGATGAGCCTGAGAGTGTCTTCCCGAGGTTTGTTGGCAGCCATCAGTTCGCGAAACCGGTTCTGATTAGATACTGAAGCAGCAGCAACAGCAACAGCAACAGCAACATACACATATTTTGGCGCAGCACAAAGAGCAGCAGCAGCAGACACGTGGCACGGATTGCAGTAACAGCACCCGAAACACGAGCAGCAGTTTCAGAAGCAGCACACGCATCCGACATACGGAGTTTGGGAGAGACAGCGACAGACAACAGCAGCAAAAGCATCTCAGCAGCAGCACTCTTAAGCCCCTCACCTCCCATGCGTCCTGCAGTTCGCATGGGTACCACCGTGTTGCTTGCTCCGATTGCCTGCTGCTGTTCCTGCTGCTGCTGCTGAATCCTTGTTGCATGCGTTTGCAGCAAGGACTGCAATGAGTTTTGAGGCTTAAGAGGAGTAAAAGGAAGCGAAAGGGGCACAGGGCTGCCTTCCAGAACTCCCACATCCCCGATATGGTTCAAGCCACTGCTGTGGTTGCTGTCATTGCTGCTGCTGCCGTTGCTGCTGCCGCCGTCCTCAGAAGCTCTCAGGATTGGGATAGTGCCGAACTCCGCTACTGTTCCGGACACGGTCGCAGGAGCAGATGGATCTACATACGCGTTTGTTGCACCATCCGTTGCTGCTGCTTCTGCTTCTGCTGCTTCGTGGGCAGCAGCAGGAGAGCTGCCTCCATGCATGTCAGCAATTGACAGTCTCCCTTAGCCCTGCGATGTATAGAAACCACGAAAAAAAGCTAAACAAGATTAAGGCCTCAAGTAAATGTCGCACTAGTAGACGGTTTTCGGTTGCATGTCAAATACGGCTAGGGTTTAGGGTTTACAAACACTGAAGGGGCATGAGCCGCTGCGCAATACATAGATTGAGGCATTCAAGCTTGATACAGAAGCAACTTTCAGGTGTAATACACAGAAGCGCTTTCGCGCCGCTCAGGGACGGCTGCTGCATGCGTTTGCATGCACGGGAGCCTGTTGGGGCTTGCCTTCGCTTGGGGGCGATCTGCTTACGCTCCCCGTGTTTCTTCTCGTTGTTCCTTGGTTTTGCGTCTTTAGAATAATATTATTTCGATCTATTTCCTTTTTTCAATACGAAGAAACGGATTTCTTTCTGTTAAGCGTACGGCTTGAAGACGCTGGGGCCTTTGCCCGCTGCTGCTGAGCTATTCGGCTGTTGGCCTTTGTTTCCCCATGGTACCCCCCTATTTTCTTTTTCTTGTTAATCTTCACGTCAATCACCTCACAAGCCCAGGGGCGGGGAACGCTCCAAGCCCCTGCGGCAGTGGGAGCGGCAGCAGCCTCCGGTGCTGCTGCTGCTGCTGCTGTTGCTGCTGCTGGTATACAATCGAAGACAAATGAGAAGATAAAGCAGTCTCGTTACTACATGAGACGTAGATATCGACCCTAAAGAAACAATCCCAGATCATCTTGTAGCTGCTGCTGTAGCCCCAGTCCCGTGGTGCTCCTCCAGGTGTTGCCACAAGTGCAGGTGTTCCTGCAGTGTGCTTGGAACTACCTCCGAGCGTCTATTGGTTGTTTCCACGCTTTAGTCCTCTTCTTTTGCTGCTTCTAGCAGCAGCGAGCTCCCTCTCTGCCTCGCAGCTTCTCCTCCACCGCAGCAGCGGCCTCACACCTGCACCTGCAGCTGCTTCAGCAGCAGCAGCAGCAGAGGGGATGGATAGTCGTCCTGCCCCCCCAGGGGCTGGCAATAGCGGCGGTTCGGGGTCTGGTTTTTCTTTTTTTTCTCACTTCTCTCCCTTTTCTGTCCAGCAGCGACAAGCAGCTCACGAGATTCTCCCTGGTTTGTTTTTAGGGTCTGCCGTTGCTGCTCGTAGTGCTTCTTGGCTTCATCAGAATGGCATTACTCACGTGCTTTGTCTTCACAATGCTGCTGCAGGGCCGCAGCAGCTGTTGCAGCAGTTGCAGATGCAGCTGCAGCAACGTCGAGAAATCCTGAAGTTCAACCCGGAAACGGAGCCGACCAAAGTACAGCGGCAGCAGCAGCTTTTGCAGCAGCTGCAGCAGCAGCAGCTCGTTCAGCACCTGGCGGTACACCCCGACCGCTATGTGTATTGCTGCTGCTCCATTCTCGATGCACCGCAGGAGCTCATGTTGCCTCTTGTGCCCTTTTGTCTGGAGTTTATAGACAAGGCCTTGAGCAACCGCAATTACCGCATGCATCCTCCTGATGAGCAGCAGCTAGCAGCAGCAGCAGCAGCAGCAGCATCAGGTGCGCCTCCAGCAAACGTCCGTCTGATGCAGAGCCGCCGCCGCAACCACTGTTTCATAGAGAAAGGAACCATATGCAGCATGCTGTCCTCCCTCGAGGACGAGTTTATACAACCTGGTGCTGCTGCGGCAACAGCAGGGGATGCGGCGGCAGCGGTAGCCCAAGCATCATCATCAGCAGCAGCAGCAGCAACAGCAGCAGCAGTAGGGGAGCCTGCGAGGAAAGTTGTGGGGGGCCGCGTGCTGGTGCACTGCGCTAAAGGCATCAGCCGCAGCGCGTGTATCTTACTTGCCTTTCTTCTGTTCCGCAAAAGTTTGCGGCTCGATGATGCAATTGCCTTTCTTTCGAGAAAGCGACCTGTGTACCCTAACGTCGGCTTTCAGGTAATACATATTTCTTAAAACAAATTCAGAAAACGTCTAGGGAAGGGACAAGGGTCTAGGTGATGAGGCGAAGTATCTTGAGGGCGATGGGAAAATTGTCGAGGGTTTAGGCTTGAGGGGGTTTAAGGTTTGGGGCTGAGGAGGGAGGGTTTAGAAGTGAGGATAATGGTGAGGTTAGGGTGTGCGGGCGGGGGGCTTGTAGGGTTTAGGATTTTGGGAGTGGCACGGGGGCAAGCAACACAGACAAGCTGGCGGCTGAGGTCATATCACCATTCATGGGATATTGTTAAAGGGTGTAGGGTTTAGATTTGTAGGTGTAGTGGCGATAGCGAGACAGAGCGACAGAAACAGAGGAAAAGGGGCACAGATGGAGAGAAAGACAGAGGCACAAAACGCACAGATAGGGACAGAGACACAGTGATCCGGTAAGCGAGACAGGAAGCTAATAATGTTTGTGGCTGCCTCCTCTTCAGGTTCAGCTGCAGTACCTCCAAGACAGACTTGAGGAGGTGCGGCCCGCGCTGCCCCATAACATTGAGCTTGATGACCAGCAGCAGCAGCACCACCACCACCACCACCACCAGAAGGGAGCAGCAGCAGGAGCAGCAGCAGCTCACGCTTTCGATGCGACTGTCTCCATTGAGGAGAGCGAGCCCGACATATTCAGAAGAGACCCAGACGCCAAAAGCCGTGAGGGTTTTGAGCCTGAGCTTAACCCTCACTAAGTCGCCACACGAAATCTTAAGCTCTTTAAAGCACCACTGCGGCATCAAACGCTGCAGAGCCCTCTCCTGCGTGGCTTGTGGTTCCACGTGTAGGGTTTATCGTGGGCTTAGGGTATAAGTTTGGTTCATTGTTAAGCCAGTGAAGCGTAGTTTTAAGAGCAGCTGTGTTGACTGTAGGGTTTGGGGTTTAGGAGTAGGCGTTAAGTGCGTGTTCGGGTCCGTGGCCCATCGTGTCCAGGGTGTAGGGTTCGGGGTTTAGGGTTTAGGGTTTGGAATGATCAGGGCTAAGGGCGTTCGTCGCCTCCTGCAGTGGCGATCTGACTGAGGCGGACTTGGGACGTTTGATAACTGTAGGGTTTTCCTCCCATTCTTGCTTCTCTCTTGTCTGTCTCCTCTCCTTTGGTCTCCTGTCGTTCCTCGTTGCCGTTTATCTCCTTGCGCCGCTCAGTGTCTGCATCTTTGTTTGTTTCCTCGTGTCCTTTTCAACTTGTCTCTCTTTCCTGTTATTCTTTGTCTCCTTATCTTTCATCTCCATGTGCGTTTCTTTTTTCGCTTCTCACTTTGTCTGTCGCTATGTCTGGCTCCTGTTGTTTGTTTGTGTGGCGGCTGCTTGGCTCCCCGTTGTCCCCGTTTGAGTCTCCTCCATTTGGTTCTTTTTGCAGTCCATACTGATATTTGCTTATCTCTTCGCCCCCCAAATAGGCTGGGATTGTTTTGTAACTCTTATGTTTCCATCCCTTTCGGTTTAAGGTTTATCGTTTAGGTTTTATGGGGGCCAATCCATAGTGCTGGTGTCCTACTGTGGGTTAATGTTCACTCATACTTGTTTGGCTTCTGGTTTAGCTTTTAGCGTGTGCTGCTTAGGATGTAGAACTTAGTGTTTAGGGTTTAGGGAGTCTGGTGCATGCAAGGTCTTGGCATTTCCACGATGGTACCCATGCTGCTGCAGGCTCGCATACAGCGAGAATGTGAAGCTTTGGAGACGCAAGTGTCTGTGTTGTATCAGAAGACCCCGCTGCTGCAGCAGCGGACTCTCTGGCGACCGTTTGGTCTCTTTTTTGAGAACCTCAGGTCGTACCAGCTGCAGCAGGAGGAGACAGTTCTCAAGAAGGCAGAAGCCTGTGCGCAGAAGGCAGCAGAGCTCAAAGTGCGTCCCTCTTGCTGCTGCTCCCTGGTGCTGCTGGTCCTGCTGCTGCCATGGCGCACTCTCCTCCCGCTGCTGTTGCTGCCGTTGCTCGTGCTGCTTCTGGTAAGTCAGCTTCTCTTTGTTGCTGTTGCTGTGCAGCTGGTGTTTGCTGCCACGCTCCCCGGTGTCTCCATGGCGGACAAAGTGGCAGATGAGATAAAGGCCTGGGTCTCCGACTGCCGCGCGGCAGCTGCAGCAGCAGCAGCTGCTGCGAAAGACAAAACCAGAAACAGCAGCCCCTCTGCAGATGCACCAACAGGTGAAATGGAGGCAGAAGATAGACAGAGATACTTTCTCAGCGAGAAAGACGGAGATGGTGGCAAACACTCAAAGAAGGCCGCCAGATGTAGCCAAAAACGCAGCAGAAGCAGAAGCAACAGCAGCAGAAGCAGCAGCGGCACCGAGAGGAATGCCGATGGTTCGATTTCCAATGGTTTCAACAGTAGCAGCAGCGGGAATGGATTGAAGCAACCACAAGGAGCCTTGCTTCCATGGCAACAGTCTTCGCACAAGCGCCACCGCAGCACTAGCAAAGACAAAGAGAGAGAGAGAGACAGAAATAGGGAAAGGCAGAGACACAGGGGCAGGTCAAGGGACAGAAGCGGGGACAGAGACAGCAGCGCAGAGAGGAAGAGGTCAAGAAAGATGGCGAAGAAGAAACACAAAGACAAAAAAAAACACTCGAGCCTCCGGCTTAGACTCAAAACCCCCAAGCCGAAGCCAAAAACGTATAGCAGCGATAGTGAATGAGGTCAACAGGACCAGCAACAGCAGCAACGGTAGCAACGAGAAGCCAGATGCAACAGAGACAGCGGCGACAGGCTGCGCAGCAGCAGCTGCGGCAGCAGCGAAAGTAGCAGCTCAGGGCGGCCCGTCGATTGGCTGTCTTCTGGAAAGCGTTTTGCCGGCGTCGTGGCTCAGCAAATTCCTGCTGGTGCTGACGTTGCAGTCGCTACTGTGAAGGAAGGGAGCAATTCTAGCGCCTGCTACAGAACTATGCACAGCGGAGGCCTGTTAATTAAGGGGTATTTGTTTGATATGTCGTCAATGGAGAGGTATTCTGCTGCTGTTGGTTGCTGCGTGTCTTTGTGTAGCAGCAGCAGTGCTTCAGGTGCTTCTACAGCGCCGTCTGCGTTGTTCGGCTGCAGTGGGGTGCCCCACGGATCCACACGACGTTGTTTGGGGACTGTCTCCTTTTTGGCAGTAGGGACACACGTGGCGACGGGTGATCCCGCGTTGCACTCGTTGATTCGGGATCTCTTTAGCTGACTCATCGCCACAGAACGCTAGTTTGACTAGCAAGGTGCTCCTCAGGAATTCGAAATGCGACACTGAGCAGGCAGGCAGGAGACACGGGGAGGCACTGCGCGTAGTGGGCTGACAAGAAGAGCTCGATACGCATCTTTCCCAGTTGCACCGTCGGGTTGTCCGCCTCTCCCCTCCAGCTGCAGCATAAAGCCAGAGACCCTTAAAGGAAGAAACCTACCGTGTATAGGAACAGGCAGTTACCTCTTAACAGTTCTTCCGTCTTCAGCAGTTGCGACTGTTGCTGCATGCATTCCTACAGCAGTGCGAGAGCCCCGTTTGAGTGTCTCCTTAGCTAACTAGATATAATTCCAACGGGCCACCTAGCTAGGTGGATGACTAGCTAACTGGGCAGATGCGGCGTTGTCACGTGTTTTACCACATTTTATGCTCCTCTTAAGGCAAATTCGCTGTAGTCAGTTATATATTTACTGTTGCGTTTGAATGTGTTGGGAAGTTGTTGCCTCTCCCTTTACACAGGATCGAATTCCTGGGGTACAAACAGTAATTCTTCAATAGGTGAAGGTTTGAAAAGTATGTGGCAGGAGTTACTTGCCCCTAAACATTTGGAACACAAATACATATTTCATCTCCAAATTTAAATTGGACTACTGATTCAAAAGCCAGCAATCTGGCTAGATGGCCAGCCATTGGGTCAGCTCCGGTCGTACATCTTGCTAACCAGGTCGGAACCTGCACGGGAGGTGCGGTGAGCTAGTTCGTAAGTCGGCAGAGAAAGTCGTCCTTGGGAAGTTGCTAATCTACAGGAACTCCTCTCTCTCTCTAAATATATATCTCTCTCTATACATGTATATATATATATATATA